GGAGAGAGAGAGAGAGAGAGAGAGAGAGAGAGAGAGAGAGAGAGAGAGAGAGAGACAGAGCGTGAGAGGGGAAACAAATTCAAACTAACCCAAAGCAACGTCAGTTCAGCCCTGTATGGTAACATTGTGTTTGTGTCTGTTAACAGCGGGTAACTGCCTGGTCGGAAACTACGCGAACAACCATCAGGGTGGCAGTCATTCACCGCGACTTCAAGAATCGTCCGTCGCGGACAATCATCAGGCGGCGCATCAGGATCACGTTGCGGACGAAGAGTCGCACTTGCATACGATGATGCCATTGCAATTGCACATACCGCAGTTCCACAGCTCCCTCAACATGGGCTTTCCACCTGGTATGGCGTTATCCGGCTTGGCGGCTACTCAGGCAGCATCGGCCAGTATGAATCAATCGAAGGCGCGTGGCGCCTCCGACTGCCCGGGCGTTTGTCCACTTTGTGGCGCGACCTTACGTCAGGCGAGGAATCTCCGTAGGCATCTATTGTCTTCGTGCAAATTTCGGTTTAACAACTCGGTGACGAATGCGATAACGACGACGCAGAATTCCGACGCGACAACAGTGGAGATTAAGCCTGAGATTGAGGGTTACAACGATCAATCGTCGATGACATATGGGACCGACGGCAGTAACGACTGCGAACAGATAGTCTGCAATCCCACCTTACCTTCACCAACGTCGCACGAGCCTGAAAGCGCAATATCATCGCCGAGGAGCATCCCGTCGCCGACGATCGCCAGATAAATGTACAGGGAACGGACTCACCGGGAGTATCGAGAGATGAACGTGTTGTTCGTTTTATAGTTAATTTTTTTGCGGATTTCGTTCGGTTGTCAGTTGTGTTACAGTGATACGTCACTCAAGATTGTGGTGAGTGGGTGCGACAGTAAAGACAGAGAGGAGAGATAAGATATTTTGCATTGTATAGTTACATATATATTAACGAAAGCGAACGGTTATTTGTAATTATTGACGTACACGTTATTTAACTAGGTCAAAAATTCGGAGTATATTTGCGCGTTTAGTTTTATACGAGAATCTTCCACCTTAGTATGTAAGATAGTACTGTAGGATTATAATTGAAGATTTAAGCATAATGAATGAAAAAAAATCTATCATGAAAATTATCATTATTCTTTTACCATTGGGGCTTACATGATAATTGGGGTTTCGTGCGATAGTGCAATTAAACTTCGTCCACTGCAGTTCGTTTTTACTGCCCCTTTAATTCCTCCTCTTACCATAGAATGGTCTAATAATAGTACGTTTCTAAGAACACTGCGCTTGTCTTAGCGCTGAGATACTGCCGTGTCTCCAGATACGGGCTACGTTTACGAATACCATTTTTCTAATGAAATCTTGCAACAGCCACAAAGTGAAAATTAATCGGCGCACATTCCTATTTTGTAATGGTAAGCTCTGCTGCGTACGTGGACTGTTGACAATAGAACATACACAAAACCACTAATACTTTAATTGAGAAAGAAATAAAATAACGGATATAACAATGTATTATCCAATTTTTCTTTTTCAATAAAGCGCAAATAAAATACGTGATTGTGTGTTGTGTTATTTTCCACAAAACACGTTATTTACGAGCTACCTGATTTGAAGAGTTTATTGTAACAATGAATAATCTGAGCTAATTCATATTTTGTAAAAACGGAGTAATGTAGATTAGCTCCACAACATACTTTTTCATCACTTTAATTTTAGAATTAATTGACTGATTTACTTCATTTTTTTTTTAATTTTAATATACTGATTAATCTACTGTTGTAGCAATTCCTTCGATTATTCCATCTATTTTTGTATCATATTAGACTGGATTATATGCATACGCTAGAGATATGTCTAATGCGAGATGTTCCTATCAGATAAGTTTCAAGTCTGTCTAGTTTCGAATTCGTTCTAGGGGATGGATTATCGAAAGCACGTAGTCTGTCCGATCAACCGGTGTCGTGTCCGCTGTGCGGCGCGATTCTGCGTCAATCGAGAAATCTCAGAAGACACTTGGAGCTTCTGCACTTCGGTCTGGGCAACAGTAATAAGTCTGGGATACACGCGAGGCATCGACGTGCGGCAGCGGTAGCGGCGGTCGCGGCGGCGGACAGGGCTAGTGATTTCGGCCTGTCATCCTTGGCGTGCGTTCGTCCCACTGCCAGACTGGACTCACATCTCGCCACGAGATCCTCTGAGGCCTCGGATTTTTCTATGGTGACACCCCTTGCCTCGTCTGTTAGTTCCGCTTCGAGCGTCAGTCTTCCAGGTGAAAAGTCTTCTGCAAGTTAGCCGGGTTTCAAAAATAAATAATCACAAATAAACGAAGAAGGCGAATGTTGATGCCTAATAACATTAGTTTATAAGATTTTGAGCCTGAATTTGTCGTTGAACTTTTCCATTGCAAAAAGCACTTTTTTCAATATGTAGTAATTTTATTGAAATATTATTAATTTTTGTTTCACGTATATAATTGTTTAAAATTCAACAGTAATTGCTTAATATATTTTTGTTCCAATACTCCTAATGTTTCTCAATTATTACAAATTATTATCAAATCCTGATGGAAATATTCGCCTTGTATATCATTTGTCGCACTCAAATTATTCGGAAAGAAATATTATATTAAAAAAAAAAGATACGCTATCTTAAAAATTAATATGCTATTTCTTATAAATTCGATGTGCTGAAATTTTTCTAGCAACAAATTCAAATTTAGTATTCTAAAATATGTTTTTAAAAAACTTGTTTCCTTGTACTAAAAATTAAACAAAATCTGTGAACAATATTTTTGCATGAATCTTATAATTTTTAGTTCAAACAAAGTGTGATCGATTATTTGTCAATTTTAAAACAGTCCTAAACTAAAGCTTTTTTGAGTAATTAATTGGGGCATAGTTTGTTTGATTTGAAAATCAAGTAAAATTCATAAAAAATATTAAGCATCAACATCTGCTTCGATTGAATATATCCTTCTCCGTTCATTGTGTTGAATATTTCTCAGTCAATTTTCACGTACTAAAAATATTTTATTTTTGAACGCTTATAAACACTTGTTATATACATATAAGCATGTCATTTAATTCGAATAAAATTCCTGAACTGGAATACAATTATAGAGAAAAAAATATT